TCTCCTAAATAAATTCTGGTAAATAATATTTCTGGTAAATACTCTGTTTTTTTATTATAATTGTATTATTAGTAGACCAGAACACGTGGATATGTTGTCATTCTTACACTATAATACTGAACTTTGATTTCAGTGATTTGGACTATGAGATAGACACTTGCTGCTTGCACTCTGTTGCACTTTACATTCTGAGTTTACACGTTTTGATGTGTTCAAAGAAGACCTATTCTTTTAATTACAGTGACTATAGCATTTCTGTCCTAAAGAAATGGCCAAATATTAAAGATTAAGTGGACAGTTGAATTAAATGGTGCTTGGTAAATATTAAACAAGGATTAGATAGATCGCACAGCAATGTGTAAAAATAATCATCAGACCGATGGCGCACTCTGCAGGCCTTTGTTGTAATGTTTAATGTACATGAGCTCTATTGTTTATAATACATTATGTATTTTAACAGTTTTGTTCAATAAAACCATATGATTTCTTGCTCTTGATACTTTATTTGAACTCATATAATAGCAATGAGGCAATAATAATATGTATTTTAAGTAATTTTAAAGGCTATTGTTCACTTGCATCTACTTTTATTACCACAAAAGAAATAATTATAATTATAGGGCCCTATGAAATCTGTTTTATTTCCAAATTCAGTTTTTTCCATTTAAATTTTTAAAATATTCTTAAGTAAAATTGTTGATTTTTTTTGCGGGGGATTAATCGACAAATTAGTCGATAGATTAATCGAAATAAAAATAGTTGTTAGTGGCAGCCCTATTTTAATGACTTAAGATGCTTAAGAACTGTACTGTCATAGTTGTACTCTTGTATGACTTCTCTGCTAGATTGTACTGTATAACATGTAATCACTGTTCCTGCAGAAAAGGAGATTATTCCTGGCAGAATCCAGGTGTTTTCCTCCTATCCTGGCAGTATTTTCTCAGGAGATGACTTTTATTTGCTCAGCAGTGGTCTGGTAAGACTCTTCCTGCGGTTACAACCCTTTTAATCGAGAGATTCTCTCTAGTTGAAACTATTATGTTGTTGGGTGGATCTCTCCTGGCATTTCTGGCATATTTGTGTTTGTTTTCATGGATTTATCTTCAGGTAACTTTGGAAACCACCATAGGCAACAGTAACGCTGAGCTGTGGAGATTCGTACGGCCCTGTGGAGCTGTCATGGAGTGGCTGAGGAACATCGTAGCCAATCGACTTGCTCAAAGCGGACAAGCGTGGACTGACATCTTCAGCAAGTACAACAGCGGAACGTAAATGACTTCTAATCTAGCATACACGCAAACTTATTAAACGCAAACACTGTGATAAAAGCAGATGATCGCTTGCTTGGCTAGGTACAACAATCAGTGGATGGTGATCGACTACAAGGCCTTCGTCCCGGGCCAGGGATACACAAAACAAGGGCTCTTCACAGTTTTGGAGCAAATACCGTAAGTGTGCTTTGATTTAGTCTCGTTGAAGCAGAATGTGTCAATTTGACTTTTTTTTATCCATTATATAATTAAGACAGAACATCTCAAGATGCTTGTCGCAATGCCAGGCATTCAGAAATGTGTATTTACATTATCATTACTTTTTAGGATAAACGCAAATCAAGATAAATTATGTGAGAAGCAAAATGACAGAAGATATTAAGTCTTGTTTTCTGAAAAAAAAAAAAAAAGTATCAAAATTAAGTGTTTTTTCTTAAAATTAGAAAAAAAAATCTTGTTTTCCCTCTGAATTAAGATTAGATTTCTTACCCCATTGACAGTTTTTTTTTTTTAAGCAAAATCTAACAAAATTGCTACTTTTTTTTTTTTTTTTTTTTTTACAAAAGTCTTAATATCACAAGTAATTTTCTTCTCAAGTAAAAAGTATCTTGATTTAAGAATGTTCAGTTATTTGTACTAGAAAACAAGACTAAAATACTAAGAAAATCATTTTTTACAGTGAAGACAGTGTGTTGATTCATCTGTGCTGTGTTATAGCAGCAGATATGGCACTAACAGTGCAAAACCACTTGTCGGTTAGTGAAAGTGAAAAGAGCTGTCTTCTGTCTGTGTTTCCTGCAGTGGAATGATCGTAACAGCAGACAGAACTGAAGAGCTGTTTCAGACTGGCTACTGGGCCAGCTACAATATCCCGTGAGTCTACAAACCTTTCTGCCCATGTGTGGTGAAATGTGGTGTGCTGTGGTGAAATATTAGCTGTTGTCATTAAAACATCTAGCATCACGTCCCTGTACATTTGGAAGGATGGATGTGCATTAGGTGGACAGATTTAATCAAAGGATTTGTTTATATAGTGGCATATAGTTATATAGCATGTGTAATAGCAGTCATGTGTTCATTGAGAAAATTAATTGATTTAATTCTTCAAAACACTTAAGCTGTAATGATGATGCAGTCAACCACACATCTGCCTCCAGATGGCTTTAACGACTGACGAGCAGTACTTTAATAAGAGTTTCTTATGCAAGTACAATTCTTTTATAATTCATTTCAGACGATTTCAGCCAATTTAGCAATGAACAAATTGGGCCAATCAGATTTTCTGGATCTATTAAAGGGATGATAGTTCATAGAGCCCTGCACAGGCCTCAAATATAGGCCCTAGCCCGGCCCGTGTCCGACAGCTCATCAGAATCACCGGCCCGAGCCCGTCTGAGCCCTTCTCCCAAAACAGCTTATACTACTATTTCAGCTATTAAAATAGTTCAGGTTTGGATGTAATGGCAAAGTGATTATATTTCGTTTCGTTTTTTTATTAAGTTAATTTAGAAAAATGTTTGGAGCATTTTTTGTTCGTTAAATATAAGTTTTTTTTTTTAAGTAACGACCAAGTGGCCAGCGGCAGACAGTGAGCTGATCATAGCCTATGTTTGATCAATTTAGCCTTCTCAAATCATCACGCCTAAAATAAAATCTATAGATATAAAACAGTTATGCAAGCATAATGTTTAAACGTTAAACCTAGATAAATGTTTGCCGTCATTTTTGCTTATAAAGGTAAGAGTAATACATAATTCATAACTGTGATCAGCTATATTAAAATAGTTCAGTTTTGTATGTAATGGCAAAGTGATTATATTTCGTTTCGTTTTTTTATTAAGTTCATTTAGAAAAATGTTTGGAGCATTTTTTGGTCATTAAATATAAGTTTTTGTTTTTTAAAGTAAAGACCAAGCGGCCAGCGGCAGACAGTGAGCTGATCATAGCCTATGTTTGATCAATTTAGCCTTCTCAAATCATCACGCCTAAAATAAAATCTATAGATATAAAACAGTTATGCAAGCATAATGTTTAAACGTTAAACCTAGATAAATGTTTGCCGTCATTTTTGCTTATAAAGGTAAGAGTAATACATAATTCATAACTGTGAAGGGTCTACTTTTATTTGTGTGCACTCACAATATCAACAAAACGTTGTGCTTTTATAAAATAAAGAAAACAAACA